CTAATAATAATAATTAAATAATAACTAAAAATAACTAATAATAAAATAAAATAAAATAATCGTTCTATAACAATATTTTGTTCTTTTGTAATAATTTAGACATTTTTTATATTTTTTAATAATTTTGGATTATATTTATAGATTTTTTGATATGAAATAAAAAATAGTAAATCGTAATAAACTATAAAAGATATGGAAAAAATCTTATAAATATGAAAATATTTATAAATTAATATATAAGAATATGACTCAAACTGAAAGAACAAACTGTATGAAATGTTGAAAGCTTTATAAATCATGTATTCAATCAGATAGTAATCTTACAAAATGTCAATATTGCTATGAAAGAAATCTTGATTGTATATATTTTAAACCAAATAAAATTGAAAAAGAAATTGTTAGATTGCATAAACCAGTAAAAGAACATAACGAACAAATTACTTTACTTCAAAAACAATTATTACATTATGAATTAATTAAACAAAATTTGAAGCAGATTAATACATTTATTAATTTTAATAACATATAATTTTTTTATTTCTTTAATAAAAATATAATTTATTTATAATATATGTATAATATTTTAATAAAAATATAATAAATAACTAACTAAAATAATATATAAAATATATTTTATTCTGCTTTTTGTTTCTGCTTTTTTCTTGACTTAGTATAATTAGAATCATCAGAATTAATATCAGATTCAGACTCATCATTTAATAAAAAATTAATATTTCTTTTCTTTGAACCTAACAAATTAGTTGATTCATTATTATTATTATTTGAATTTTGGATTTCCTATTTATAATTAGATAATTCTTTACATTGAGAATAAGCTTATAAATATTTTTTTTAAAATTCAGGAAAATGTTGACGCCAATAAACTTGTCTATCTTTAACTATTACTTTTCCTGATTTATTTTTATTTAATTTTTTTATCTTTTCAAATGTTTCTTCTATTGTATATTCACCTTTATTATATTTTAAATCCCAAATCATGTTTCGAAAATCTTGTTCATTTTCTTTATGAAAATAAATTTGTGTTGTTCTTTTTTCAATATTGTCATCCTATTTTTCTATGAATTCAACTATATAGTCAAGTCTTCTTTCAAATTATCTCTAATCTCTTTGAACTGTATCTTCTGTTTCTTGATAACCAAAGTTAAATGCTTTATTTGAAGGTTTTCGTAATGTCATAAAAATATACTTAGCATGAAATAGTTTAAATCCTTTTCCTTTTATTTCAACTTCTTTTGGTATATCATTCAAATAATTTGTAATATCATTCCAATTAATTTTAGTATACTATTCATCAAGAAAGACTATTGATTAATTTGTATATCCATCTCACTAAGATATAGAAAAAAATTAATTTTATATAATTTTAAAACTTAAAAAAATAATAATATAAATAATTTACCCAATTACTACCAGAATGTTGTTTCTTTTTTTTCAAATAAAATTCTAAACTAAACAATTTTTGTACAAAATTTGATTTTTCTGTGCTGCTCTGACTGAAAAAATAAAATGTAACAGGATGCCAAAATCTTTGAATATTTTTTTTATTAATTTTTTTAACAGCTTTTCTAATTAAATAAATATTTTGAGGATTATTTACAAGACATTGTGAATTATTTTCAACATGTTTTATAATAACTTCATCTCTTGACATATCATTATTAATAATAACTTCTATTATTTCTTTTGCTTTTTTGAGTGTTTCTGCTGTATTATAGTTTTCTAAATCGATATATTTAGATATATCAAATTTAAAATAAAATAGTCCACAAATTTCTGGATCAGTACTAATTCATGCTAAAGGTCTTTTACATTCTGAATTACATTTTAAACATCTATCTGATGAATCTTTAAAATTATATTTATAAGGTTGATGTTTTGGATTTTTGCATCTGTCAAAATCTTTGTTAATATAAGCAAAACACTCTTCTTTAGATCTATTTGCATAAAATACATATAGAT